CCCAAAAAAAAAAAAAAAAAAAAAAACCAACACCACTAAGTTTACCTTTAAAAATACTTTAATATGTAATATGATAATAAGGGTGGAAGAACGCCTCATAATTGATATAATTTATGTAATATATATCTTTATGAGATAAATGAAGAGCTAAGATCCACTAACTTTGCAGATAAAGATTTCATAAATTCTTTCCCTATTAAGGGTTCCATATTTTATTGTAAAAACATGAAACTAAAAAACGATTAAATAAATCGATATTTAGTTTGTTATAATTTATATATGTTTATAGAAGTGTTTGTTGCTGATTTATATATATTATTCTATTAATGTAACAACATGTATTATGCCATAAATTTTGAATAACTATTTGTTTACAGCATTATAGAATTTATATTGTATTATATTAAAAAATAATTTTAACAAATGGAAGGAGATTATCTCATTTCATTATCATTTAAATATTTTTTTAAGCTTTGATCTAATTTTTTTAACGTAGTGGTTAATGCTTCAAAGTCTCTTTTGATTGATGTAAGAAGAAAAAGAAAGTGTGTTAAATTTGACAAAGGCATTCACAGATTAGGTTTTGAAGGTTCAATCCAAATACCTCTTTTTTTCTTTCTTCTTCTTCAAGAATTTACCTAATAAGGAACTAATCACATGTCATGCAGGTATATGTTAGTTCCAATGCGACCTCAGGCCGGCCACCACGGCCACCACTATGGGACTTTGAACTCTATGTCCACCTCCGACCTCCACCCAATTCAGATAACCAAAAACCACGTCACTTTCTCTTTTAATGCTAACATGGCCTCTAATTTTCAGCTTAAAACTCAAATTTTGATTCTTCCTCTTGAATTTCAGCTTGTTCGGTTCCACTGTCACTACAAGCCCCTTCATGGGTGTCATCTTTGCTCTGTACGTTGCTCCTTTCTCTCCTATATTGGTGACCCTCCTCTTAAATTCTCTTGACATTTCTGTTCTTCCTGTCTGTGAATCACTAGCATTCACAGTCATGATAAAAGAAGGGTAGTTCAAGTCTAACAACGCCTTCTCGCAATGGTTTGAGGTCGATCGAGTGATTGTTTGGATTTGGTTTTTGGTGTAGTTTAATGCACAGAGAAGGTTTGTATAGTCTTCGATTCCCATGTCATAAATCAAACCCGGGTCAATCGCTTTGTTGGGATTGACATGCCCGGACCCCATGGCTAAAGGAGTAGCTACTTTGTTCTTGTTGCCAAGGTCTTTGATCAATGTTTGTGTATTGTCGACAATATCGGCCGTGGTCATCATTGCCGACCGAATTGCTGCGGGGCTCCACCCAGGGTGTGCACCCTTGAGAAGGGCTGCAACTCCTGCGGCATGTGGGCAAGCCATAGAAGTCCCTGACAATACATTAAACTTGCTGTAAATTGGCCTTGAGTACACATCTGTGGCTGCCACGTTCTGTGGCCATGAAGCTAAAATGGCATCACCAGGCGCCATAATGTCAGGCTTCAACACAAAGGGGCAGCTCTCTGATGGCCCTCTTGAGCTGTAACGCGCCACACTCGGTGCGGGCTTTGTCCCTATTATTGTCTTGTGGAAATTCACCCTTGCTTTTGGGTTAGAGCTTCTCTTGATGTAATCTTTTATGACATTTCCATGATATGCGTTGAGGAAAATAGAAGGGAATGAAGTTTGGATTAAGTTATCCCAATCGGAGATATTGGAGATGAAGACTCCTACGGCAATTTTGGCACTTTCAACATTATCAACTTGTAAATCTAAGGAGTACTCATCACTATCTTCACATACCACAATCTTAAATCCAACTCTTTTGAGTTTCTTCAAATTGTGACATTGCCCCATGAACACAATGGGGAGTGGAGACAAAGCTATGGCTGAGTTCAAAGGAAATAAAGATGATCCCAAAACAGAAACTCCATTGGTAAGTGTAATTGTACCTCCAAAGTCACGGTCCATTGTGCCTGCTGCAACATTTAAAACCCAAGGAGCTCCACTATGTACTGTCCCAAACTGAGGCCCCTTATTTCCAGCGGATGTGGCTACAAAAATACCTCTTTCCATGGCGGCGAAGGTGGCTATGGCAACAGGGTCTTCGTACAGAGGAACTCCGTCGAGGCCGAGCGACAGTGATATCACATCGACACCGTCTGAAATTGCCTGATCAATTGCAGCTATTACATCTGATACAGCATTACCCTCTTTCCATATGGCCTTGTATATTGCCACTCGTGCTCGTGGAGCCACGCCTCTTGCAGTTCCCTGACCATAACCGAAAAAGGATGCCTCTTTAACGTAACTACCTGCAGCAGTGGTCGAGGTATGAGTTCCATGACCGTTGGTGTCGCGTGTGGAGTTCATGGATATGGTTACATTGGGAAACTTGGAGATTAGTCCTTTGTTAAAGAACCTACCTCCAATCAGCTTCTTGTTGCACAATGAAGCATTGAAATGGGTGCCACTCTCGCATTCTCCTTTCCATCTAGATGGAATTTTAGAGATCCCATCGTCATTAAAGCTCTCGCTTTCAGGCCAAACTCCAGTATCCACAAACCCGATTATAACATCACTGCCATAATTCGAGATCGGCAAGAGACCCGAGTTGGGGCTTAGAGCGAGGAAGTTAGAGGAGTGAGTTGTGTCAGCACGAACCGATGAATCTCGTAAAGATGAAACATAGCCAGGAGAGTTTTTCAAAGCGTCAAGCTGGGATGGGGTGAGACTTGCAGTGAATCCATTGATGGCGTGCTTGTAACAATGGATCAATTTGGAAGGCAAAGAGGAGGAAGAAGAAGAAGTTGTTGTCCGAAGAGGAGAGGTATCTAGAAGAACAGAGGAAAGGGTGGCAGAGTACCAGCTATGGTGGGTAGCAAAGGGTTTAGGCATGGCGGCTAAGTCCATATGGACGATGTAGTTATCAGTTTGTGTCAAGGTGGAGCGCGCCAAAAAGATGACCATCAAAGAAACCCAGAAGAACATGCGCATATGAGCTGCCATTGATGAACAATATGGTTAACCTTCTGCAAGAGAAATCTATATGTATATATAATCAATTACTTCTACTTGTTTCTATTCTATTTTCTTGAAGTAGGACCAACACATATCCTTCCCCCAATGAATCACTCAAATTAACCATTTTGAATTTGTTAAATATGTATTAGAGAAAAATATAAAAAAATAAAAGTTTAGAAAAGTACAAATAAAAATTTTAAAATTTTGAAATTTTTTGAGACGTTTGAAAATTCAAAAGCTTAATAAATACGAATCCAAAAATTTCTAAACCTGTTATTTAATTTTTTTTTTTTTTTTTCAGACGATTAATATGGAAAACATGGTGGCAATGACGGAATCGGAAAAGTTACAGGGTTGTTTTGTTGCAGTATTGGGTCGAAAGTCTTAGGATTTTATTGGGATAAAGTGCGTCAATTAATCGCCCAAAAGTCTTGGGCTTTTAACGGAATAAAGTGGGTCAATTAATGGGCCTACCATCTTGGGCTTTTATTAAGATAAGATGGGTCAACTAATGGGCCAAAAGTACTGGGCTTTTATCGGGATAAAGTAGGTCAATTAATGGGCCAACCAATGGACCGAAAATCATGGGCATTTATCGGGATAGTAGGTAAATTTATAAGCCGAAAGTCCAGGGCTTTTATCGGGATAAAGTGGGTCAAATAATGGGCCGAAAGTTTTGGGCTTTTATCGATATAAAATGGGTAAATGAATGGCCGAAAGTGTTGGGCTTTTATCGATATAAAATTGGTAAATTAATGGACCAAAAGTCTTGGGCTTTGATGATATAAAACGGGTAAATTAAAGGAACGAAAGTTTAGGCTTTTATCGATATAATGGGTCAATTAATGGGCCGAAAGTCTCGGCCTTTGATCGATATTAAATGGTCAACTAATGGGCCGAAAGTATTGGGCTTTTATCGGAATAAAGTGAATCAATTAATGGGATGAAAGTCTTGGGCTTTTATCGGGATAAAATGGAACAATTCATGGGCCGAAAGTCATGGGCTTTTATCGGAATAGTGAATCAATTAATGGGCTAAAATTCTTGGACTTTTATCGGAATAAAATGGGTCAATTCATCGGCCGAAAGTTTTGGGCTCTAATCGGGATAAAGTGGGTCAATTAATGGGCTAAAAGTCATGGGCTTTTATCGATATAAAATGGGTAAATTAATCGGCAGAAAGTCTTGGGCTTTATCGATATAAATGGGTAAACTAATGGCCGAAAGTCTTCGGCTTTTATCGGAATGAAGTGAACAAATTAGTGGGCTGAAAGTCTTGGGCTTTCATCCGAATAAACTGAATCAATTAATGGGCTGAAAGTCTTGGGCTTTTATCGGGATAAAATGGGTCAATTCATGGACCGAAAGTCTTGGGCTCTTATCGGGATAAAGTGGGTCAATTAATGGGCCAAAAGTTTTGGGCTTTTATCGATAACAATGGGTAAATTAATGGGCCGAAAGTGTTGGGCTTTGATCGAAATAAATGGGTCAATTAATGGGCCAAAAGTCTTGGGATTTTATCGAAATTAAATGGTCAACTAATGGGCCGAAAGTCTTGGGATTTTATCGGAATAAAGTGAATCAATTAATGGGCTGAAATTCTTGGGCTTTTATCGGGATAAAATAGGTCAATTCATGGGCCGAAAGTCTTGGGCTTTTATCGGGATAACATGGGTCAATTCATGGGCCGAAAGTCGTGGGCTCTTATTGGGATAAAGTGGGTCAATTAATTGGCCAAAAGTTTTGGGCTTTTATTTGGATAAAATGGGTCAATTCATGGGCCGAAAGTCTTGGGCTTTCATCGGGATAAAATGGGTCAATTCATGGGCCGAAAGTCTTGGGCTCTTATTGAGATAAAGTGGGTCAATTAATGGGCCGAAATTCTTGGTCTTTTATCGATATAAAATGGGTAAATTCATGGGCGGAAAGTATTGGGCTTTGATCGATTAAAAATGGGATAATTAATGCGGCGGAAGCCTTGAGCTTTTATAGATATAAATTGTGTAAATTAATAGGCCGGAGGTGGGTCATTTAATGGGCTGAAATTCTTGGGCTTTTATCGGGATAAAATGGGTTAACTTATGGGCGGAAAGTCTTGGGCTTTTATTGAGATAGAGTGGGTCAACTAATGGGCCGAAAGTCTTGGGTGTTTATCGGAATGAGGTGGGTCAATTAATGGGCCGAAAGTCTTGGGCTTTCATCGGGAAAGTGGGTCAATTAATGGGCCGAAGGTGTTGAGCTTTTATTGGGATAAATGGATCAGTTAATGTGCCGAATTACTTGGGCTTTTATCGGGATATAGTGCGTCAATTTTTGGGCCGATATTGTTGGGTTTTTCGGATAAAATGGTCAATGAATGGGCCGAAAGCCTTGGGCTTTTGTCGGGATAAAGTTGGTCAATTAATGGGCGAAAGCCTTGTGCTTTTATCGGGATAAATGGGTCAATTAATGGGCTGAAAGTCTTGGGCTTTTATCGGGTTAAAGTGCGTCAATTAGTGGGCGGAAAGTCTTGGGCTTTTATCCCGATAAAATGGGTCAACTAATGGGCCGAAAGTTTTGGGCTGTTATCGATATAAAATGTCAATTAATGGGGCGAAAGTCTTGAGCTGTTATCGGGGAAATTGGGTCAATTAATGGGCCGAAAGTGTTGGGCTTTTATTGGATAAATGAATTAGTTAATTTGCGAATGTATTGGGCTTTATTGGGATAAAGTGCGTCAATTATTGGGCCGAAAGTATTGGGTTTTTGGCGAAAATGGGTCAATTAATGGGCCGAAAGCCTTGTGCTTAGATGGGGATAAATGGGTCAATTATTGGGCTGAAAGTCTTGGGCTTGTATCGGGTTAAAATGCGTCAAGTGATGGGCCGAAAGTCTTGGGCCTTTGTCTGGATAAAATGGGTCCAGTAATTTGCCGAATGCCTTGGGCCTTAATAGACAAAGCTTTTTTCGTTACTAATTTAGCTACGAAGGTTGAAAATTTCACTCATTACTAATAAAAAGTTTGATGAATTCAAACTTTATAAGAATAGATCACGAATGCCATATTTCCGCAAAACATATGAAAGTATGTTTTGGCGTACAGTTTGTGGGGGCAATAAATTAAACAGATGAAGAAAGGCCCACCTTAGCATCTGCTTGGAAATGACGCATCTGCTTGGAAATGACGCATCTGGCTGTCATTATGGGTGTTGTTGCATTAATGGCATCTAAGTTCGTAAAACCTGCTTAATTTTTTAGCCAACTCTTGCTGACCCAAACATTCATCAGCCAAACATTTTTCCTTTTTTGTATAATTTGTATTCAAATTGTACAAGAAGAACATAGATTGCAAAAATGTAAGTTTGATGAACTGATTTTCGGCTTGCTGAGTTCAACTTGAATAGATACATATCATAGATTAAAATGTTAGGTAATCAAATCCCTGAGCCATGCCAAATGGGTAGTGTCTGTAGAAAAGGCTGAGGGCTGGCAGATTCAAGAACTCCCTTAGACGAATAAATCAGGCAGATGCGCACAACTGTGGCACAAAAGAGAACCACCTGAAACCACAGCTCCATCTCTCCGGTAGAGAAGGGCATTTGGGTACCCAATGCCATGATCTCCTGCAAAATCTGTAATACAAAATCTCCGGCCAAGTGTAGCAACAAACACAGATGGTTCCTTGATGCCAAAAGCAATACACATGCTCGTAATTGTGGTAGCAAATCGACATGAACTTCTTGCAAAACATCTGTGGCACACTTTCAACTTCCACCCAATTCCCCTCTTCCGAGAACTCCCATAATCTCAGCCTCCTCGAGATCCCATTCCTCCCTGTTCCACCGATCATGTACAGTTTCCTATCTCCATCGCTCACTAATCTAACAAACGTCAGCTCCTCAGGCATTACAATATCGGTTACCTCCCACTCGCCACTATCCAAATCGAAGGAAACAATAGAAACTGGTTTTGGCGTAACAAAATACAAATGGCCGTTATAGCACGCTGCTTCTTGGCGATGATTATCCCCGAGAATCGCCTCGAAATTGTTGAATTTTCGCCACGAGTGATTCCTGGAATCGAAAACCAAAGCCGAATCAGCGAAGAGCGTGAAAATCTTGTACCCTAGGGGTACGGACACCAACGTGAGCAGCTCGAATCTGAATGGATGATACGGAAACTCGATCAGTCTCGACGATTTAGTCAAGAAATTGCAGACAATGAAGGAGCACGAATTGCGAAGAGAGAAACAAACGAGGCCGTCAGCTATGGAAAGAAGAACAGTAGAAGGAGTAGCGGAAAGAAGCGGAACGGAAAGAGAGAGCGGCAAGCTCCGCCAAGTGCCGAGAGCAGAGTCGTACAGAGGAAACTGACTGAAACATTGAGGATGCGCCAGCAAGAGGAAGGAAGAGAAAGAAGAATCGGAATGCTTAGAGACGAAAGAAGGAGAATACAAGAGGGAATCGAAACGCTTGCAAGTCGATCTCAGGTTTAAATAGGTTCTGAGAGGGAGAAAAGAGAGTACGTGATCGAGGAGTTCAGGAGGTAGTCGGCTCCAGATTCCGGGATCCATTTCCGGCAAGTAACAGCTTTCCGATGAAGAAATAATGCATTTCGGCTTGGCAGCGGCGACGGTGAATCCACTGAACTTGGAGAAATATTTAAATCTTCCAGATTTTTCGCTCATTTTCATATCCGTAATCCTGAAAAACGCAGTTACGGAAACGGAGGTATGAAGATGACGAAGCGGCACAATGGCGCCTTTATACTTGTAATCCGGGCCCACGTCGTAGCGAACTGGAGCTCAAAGATAACGGCATCTTTACAATTTTATCAACATTGTAAAAACGTTGGACAGAAATACCATAAATATCTACAACTATTAGCTTCTTAATATATTTTAATATATATTTTTTTAAATCATTAATCACTAGATTTGAACAACGTATTTTAATATTTTAAATAGTTTCTAAATTTTGTTAGATAAAGTATATTTTTATCTATCTCAAAGTCATTTTAAACTTACTAAACGATTTGGTTTAAGGTGGTAGGCTAGCAATGATATTGCAAAAGAACGTAATATATTTAATTATGCATGTAAATGCTGTCATATTTGATGGAAATAAATGGAATTGTCATAAAATTAATTATCACAAATAATGAACTAATCCAAACCAATCTCAAAAAGTGGATACAAATTAAGCATAAATTATTAACAATAATTTATTTTTAATTAATTGAATTGAGGGTATTTATTATGTTATTAATAAATGAATCAATGTTTTAATGCATACTTAATTACATAATTGATATATATATATATATATATATATATATATATATATATATATATACACACACCCACACATTAATGGCATTAATAAAATTAAAAGTATATATTTTTAATAGTTGAATTATTTATAGTTAAAAGTATAAAATTTATGAGCCAATTTTGGCCTTCATTTTAAAACTATATGCCAATTTTATCCGTGTTTCAATGGTTACTGTCCCAGATCTCATCTAGGGTAACACTGCCCCCTTTCTATGCCACCTTTTCATCGCCATGACGCCCCAGCGCCCTATCAAACGACTGCAGCAACATGGGCTCCACCTTCCATTTGAAGGCCGATTGCAGTGAAGATCGCCGGGTGAACAGTGGACGTAGGCTGTGGCTGATCCTCTCCTCTATCTTATAGATGCGTTTTAAAACTATAAGACTGACAACCATATATAAATGAAGTTGACAATATCGATTATCGGTGTGCTTGGACTGTTACCATCCTCGCCTCTCTCATTTCCGCTTGCTTCAAACCAAAAAAAAATGGAGATCTTTGTCTGATACTGCTTGCTAGGCTATATTTGAGGCAACTCTGAGGTTGATGGCAAAGTCAAGAGCTCCGATATTCTCGGCGTGACATTGGCTCAAAAGTTGAGCTCGGTTGCAGTTGTAGAGCCTTTTCTGTCGCAAGTAATATATTTAAGTATTATATATATATTCCCCTTTGGATTCAAATGGGAGGGGAAACTATTGTTTATACATGGTGAATACATGGTCAATTATTCCCCTTTCGTTTGTACAATTAAACAAAGGCAGAAATTGCTTACTTCTGCCTCCTCTCTGTCACTCCATAGACGCACGCCTACAAGTTGCTCGCCACGGCTACCTGACCTCTAAAACTTCAACTGAGTTTCAATTATTAGTTTGTACTAGATTAAAAAAATATTAAAATTTTCTCAATGTATACTTTTTTTTTTTTGTCTTTTTAATATCATCTGTACGTTGTTAACGGCCTCGTGTCCCTCTCTCGTCTGTACATTGTTACTGGGGTAGCACGCTGCTTCTCTTTCCAAAGAAAAAAAGCTGGTCGGAATTATAATCCATGTAATTTTGTTCTTCCAAATCATAATGTGAGATTATAGAAGAGACCCAGTTCGGTAGAGAAGAGTTCCGGGACGCCACATTTCATATTTCAACCTGGGCTGCCCAACACGGACTTAGGATGTTGATATATATCTGTTCATTTACAAACAATACGACAGTGGACAAAGTTGGCCCATTCACAGTTTGACCAGTGTTATTATAGCTTATTCAATTATTATAGATAATAAAACTATTCCATGTCATCCACGTAAGGTTGTAGGCCACTAACAATCAAAATCAAACTTTATATCCCTACGAGAAGTATTGCTACATAGCCAATCGGTGAAAAAAATGATCATATACACTCAAAAAAAACATATCTATAAACATAGTAGATTGTTCTGTATGTTAAAGTTATATATAGTAAACTAAAATTATATAATCTTAATAAGTGTTTTGAACACGTATTCCCTATATTTACTGACGAAGTCATCACTATAACTTTTATTCAATACTTATATTGCATTTTTTTTTGTCTGAAATCATTCGTGTATCATTTATTGATCTCAATATTTTTATTGATTTGAATGAACAAAATTTTAGTATTTCTAAATTGAAAAGTTTAAAATATTAATGTAATTTTTCGAAGCTAAAAACTAATTTTGAAATAAATATGAACTATTTTTTTTTTTTAAGTTTAAATATTGATACACCTTTTAAAAGAAGTAGAGAATTTTTAAAATGAAGTATAAACTTCAAATATATTTTCTCTAATTTATCTAAAGGATACTTGAACTCGGTCATAGAGGATCCCTCTTTCGACCCGCGAAAGACCATATAACCTTTCGAGTCTACACGTCGATTTTGAAGTTTTGGAGCCAAAATGGCCGCGGCAACGTTGATGAGAAAAATAGGTTCGGCTATTAACGAAGCGGCTCTCGGAAGCCGCATCTCCAGCGGATGGTACGATCCTCACATGGCGGCTGCTTCTCGCGCTGTCGTCGAACGAATTCCACTAGTCGATTTTGTTCTCGAAGTTAGAGATGCTAGGGTATGCAAGCTCCTACTATTTTTTACTCGCTTCATTGCATGTTGTTTGATTTCGTATTGATATTTCAAGTGTTCGTTGAAATGTCTGCTCAATTCGTAGCTTTGGTACATCTATTTGTTACCTTTTTAGGTTCAATCCTTTCGGAAACCTGGATTTGTTTATTCCTATATGTGGTGTTTCGGTTCGTCTTCGGTAAAATTATATACGAACAATGAAGTTGTAAGGAAGATGAACGATTACGTCTATTATTCTGAAGGAGGGATAGAATCACTGAAAATATTTGACTATTCCTCTCGGTGTTATTTCTTTGTTTTGTTATGTTTTCAGATTCCGAAGACGTCTGAATATGAACTTATGAAAAATTATCCACTATCATCAAAACGAATCATTATATTGAACAAGACGGACCTGGCGGATCGATCACAAACAGAGGTTCGGAACTTCTGTAACTTCCGTGATTTTCGGTCATTTTAGCTTAGCTTTTACTCCTGGAGTTACTTTCAAGTCTTCATGTGATATGCTTCTGATGTCTATCTCCTAGTTTTTTGAATGAACACAAAAAGGACAATCTTGTGGGATATTTGGGGGAGAGAAGAGCATAAGATACAAATGGAATATCTGTGGAATGGAAGTTATCGTTTGTCCAAGTTACAATCAATGATCACAAACAGAGTTTTTTTTCCCCTTTTGGTTTAAGTCGGATACTTGACCTTGCGATTTTCTTTGGATAGAAATAATTATTTATTTCTTATGAAAAGAAAGAATTACAATACAGTATATGAAAGAGATTTGTACTTAGCTAACATTTTACACCAATCAATCGACATACCATTTATGAGGTGATTTATTCATTTACGACTTGAATCATATTCAAAATGACTTATCAGTCAGTATCTATTTTTTCACATGTTTATACTTCACTCTATCAATAGGCCTGGACCCGATTTTTTGAAGACCACAACTGCATCTCTTATGGCGTTAATTCCCATAATAAAGAGAATATTAGGGAGGTAAAGAACTAAGGTTTAATCTTTTTGTGTTCATTTTGCTACCTTGTTTGGGCTACTTATTTTCCTTTTTCTTTCTGGCTTATAAATGATGGTGGCAGCAAGGGTAAGATGTCTTGACGATATATGCATTTTTTTTCTCTAACCTTGTTTTTCATGCAAAATTAAGTGCTTACTAAAGGTAATTTATATTTTCCATTTTGCAATTATTACTTTCTTTCCGTGGGACAATCCATTAGTTGTTTAATCTTTTGAATGGACTTATTTGTTTTTGTCTAATAGCGATTGCCGAATGACGATGGTTCACTTCATACAGTTCTTGACTTTTCTTCAAGCTAGAGTTAGAGAATTGAAGAAGAGCGGTCACTCTAGTCATGCCACCACGATGATGCTGGTTGGAATTCCAAATGTTGGTAAGTCGGCCCTTGCCAACTCTCTGCATCAAATTGGGAGAATTAGTGCAGCAGGTACATATCTTAAATTGTACAGAATTTCAGTTTTCTAGAGCAGTTGATCCTGGAACTGTTTGGATGAATGACGATTGTTATTTATCTAATAACAAAGAATAGCTGTTGTGACATTTTGAAGAACTGCTCACCTCACAGAAAAAGGGAAGTTGAAGAATGCTATAGTGAGTCCGCAGCCTGGTGAAACAAAAAATATCAGCAGCTTGAAGGTATGTCACTTGTCTCCTCAACATTGTAGTAGGCTGGGAAGTTGTCTTGCTATCTTCTGGTTACTGACTCAGTTGTTGAGATGTTCATTCAGATTTTTACAATAGCATATTTTGGATTGCACCAGACTTAAAAGGGGTTGTTCAAATTTCTAATTGTGGGTAGTCAAGAACAGATATCAAATCGAACTACTGTTATGAATATCATCTATTCCTTGTAGAAGCAAAGATAATGTGTATTTCATTTTTGCATAAAATTTTGAATTTCGTTTTGAAGTTGCTTTGAATTACAGATAGCTAGTCATCCCAATATTTACGTATTAGACACCCCTGGAATTTTTCCTCCCAAGATTCTCAACATCGAGGTCTGTTCCAAGCTTGCTTTAACAGGTATAGTATTATGTAGCCAATTCATCCATCTTCCTTCGTAAATTATTTAGGCCAGTGAAAGATACTGAAACATGCATATCAAGTGATAAAACATAATTGCATTTTTTAAAATCTAGTGCAACATTTGTGCTAGTTCAGAGACTGAAGATGATTGAGAATCTTGAAACTTTACTTTTTTGTTTTGCCTCCAAACTGCAGGGGCAATTAGAGACATCTTAGTCGGGGAGCAATTACTAGTACAGTACCTTTTAACTCTTATCAACTCAAGTGATAAATATAAGAAGTGGGGAAATTTGTCT